AACTCTGAAGGATATATTAGAGTGTGTCAATCCTACGAATTCAAATATTCCATTTGGAGGGAAAGTGATTGTTTTTGGAGGTGATTTCAGACAAATTCTACCTGTTATTCCGGGTGGCAGTAGACAAAACATTGTTAATGCCTCCTTAAGTTCTTCCTATTTATGGCAACAATGCAAAGTTCATAAATTAACAAAAAACATGAGGTTAACTGTTGGAAGCGATCCGTCTGCTATTGAAAAAATAAGGGATTTTGCAGATTGGCTTTTGGACATAGGAGAAGGTAATCTTGGTGGTCTGAATGACGGTGAAGCGATTGTCGATATTCCACGAGATATTGTTATTACTAATCTACATGATCCTATAGGTTCATTAATCAGTTTTGTATATCCTTCTTTACTGGATAACTTCAACATTGCTGATTATTTTCAAGAAAGAGCAATACTAGCTCCCAATAATGAAGTTGTCCAAGAAATAAACGATCGTTTGCTGTCATTGTTTCCAGGAAAAAAAAAAGAATACTTAAGTTCAGATAGCCTATGCTAATCCGAGTTTGTTCATGATGAGTTTGATGCAAATTTATACTCAGCTGATGTTTTAAATGGTCTTAAAGTCTCAGGTCTTCCAAACCATAAGCTCATTTTAAAAGTCGGTGTTCCAGTTATGTTATTGAGAAACATTGATAAAAAAAATGGTTTATGTAATGGGACAAGACTACAGGTTAAATCTTTAGGCAAACGTGTTATTGAGGCAGTTATCTTATCGGGAACTAATATTGGAAACCGGAATTTTATTCCAAGAATGTCTTTAACTCTTTCTGAAGACAAGATCCCATTCAAATTCCAAAGAAGACAATTTCCATTGGTTGTGTGTTTTGCAATGACAATTAATAAGAGCCGAGGACAGTCTTTATCGAAGGTTGGTTTGTTTCTCAAAGAGCCTGTTTTCACACATGGTCAATTGTATGTTGCTTTATCTAGAGTTCAAAGCAGAGAAGGATTAAAATTGTTGATTTTAGATAACGATGGTAGACTAACAAATAAAACATCCAATGTTGTGTATAAAGAAGTTTTTAGAAATTTGTAACTAAAACTTTCTACAATTTTATTATTTATCTAAATTTGAGTATTTGTTTTACTTATATTTAATTTTCACTTTATAATATTATATTTTTTTTTTGCATATCTACAAATAAAGAATCCCAATTGCATATTCAAACAACTATCAGTTCGTAATTTCAACCAATAATTATGTTATCATAATATTGCAAAACATATAAACTTTTGAATTACTAAATATTTTATTATTAATCCTCAATAAATAAGTTTCATTTTAATTAAAAAAAAATTTAATTTCTAACCCGTGCTGCCCACGGGTTTTAACCTAGTTTATTAAATAAATAAAACGAACATTTTATTTTAGCCACCCGAATTGTAGCTCAGGCAGATACGTTTATGATTTGCCCACTCAGTTGCAGTTTCGTATAACATTATAAAAATAAAAAGCTTGCGCTCACTTATATGCGGTTTGGATTTTGGACGAACACCATTTGTGATACGAGCAAAACCATAGCTGAGTCACTGCAGTTGTAGTTTTTATATATATTTTTTAAATAATTTTTTTGGTGTTGATAGCAATTTGGTTTAAGTTGATTACTATGTCAAACATATTTGATTATTATATTAATGTATATATTTTTACTAAAATATATAAAAGAAACTAATTTTTAGAGAATAAAATTTAGTATTATTTTTTTCCCTCAGATGAGTTCAACTGAATATTCCGTTTTGGTTATCACTGACGAGAGGTGACTGTTAGTTGGTTCCCAACTAACATAACCGGTTTATATTCTAAAAATGTTCAATTATGACGTGGAATTTTATGAAACCAACACATTTAGTAAATTTATGTATTTAAAGAAAAGTAAATTTGGTTTGGAAGATAAATCAAAAGTCATTCTTTCTTACCAACATCATAAGGGCTTGTATTATTGTGCAATTGTTGATGACCATGATGATAGACATTTGATCAAGGTGATCAATCCGGTTGGAGGTAAAGGTGTGTATATTTTTGTGGCGATTGATAATGGTGATGGTGCTAATGAACCTGGCGATATAGGAAAAGCTTATGTAGCAAACATATCTAGGGGAAAAAAAGCAACAACCCAATATATACTTTTATCACTCTTAGTGTACCTCAATATCATGATGTTGTTGAAAATGAAAATGTAGTACAACCACCAACTTTGTATGTGGAACCGTAGAGTTATAAGCAGTGTTCTAAAAGGTGCGCCATGGCGGGAGGCACAACGTCGGCGTTACGAAAAGCTTCATAACGTTGTTGTTAGGTGTGACGCGTGGCAAGGCGTGATATGACGTGCCATGACACGTTATAGCGTGTTATGGCGCGTGTTTTTTCGTTTGAGACACATTTTTTTGCTCTTTTTTATACTTTTTCTAGTCGGACACACAAGTATTGTGGTTTTTATCAACTTTTTGTTATTAGGTGTTGATATAACACTTCTAAAACCTAGTTATATTTGATATAAATTTATATTTATGCAGTAATATAATTATAAATTAATACAGAATCGCCGCCTTACATCACGCCTTGAAAAACGTCATGGCTCGCCATAACTCGTTAAGCTTGAGGCTTGGCCTTGCCGCCACGCCACGCCTCACACCTTTTAGAACCTTGGTTATAAGTACATTGGTGATTATGATGTTGGTAAATATCTTAATGATGTGAGTGTACATGATTAGTTTGAACACAAACCACAATGTATGATTAATCAAGTCGCTAATGAAAATGGAAACAAAAAGTTCATTTTTTTTAATAATGGTGAACTAAAATGATATAAGGAGTTTTCAAATTGTACAAAGTTAGATATATTTGACATAGAAAGTAATTATGATGGTGAGAAATCAAATTATGAACCTAAACATATGTATTCACATTCCATGTTTCATGGTATTCCCCATTTGTCTTCATGTCACAATGATAGTGTTAATATTCCATCACAAAAGGTAGATTCAAGTCAAAAGATCGAGCTTCTAGATATAATCGACACAAAGATAAGCTTAAGCTCGCTATTGGAAAAAAATGCCTTGAGGAGGGTTTGCAGTACATGACAAGCAGTCCGGCTAGACAAAGGTTTAGGGTGGTTTGTTACCTAAAAAATTGTTCATGGTTGATAATGGCAAAGGAAATCAAATCTACTAGTCTTTTCTAAGTCACAATTTTTTTTGACCAACACACGTGTTCTTCAACAGAATTGTAACCTCAACACCGACAAGCAAGCAAAAAAGTGGTAGGTCACTTTATTGTTAAGGTTATGGTTGGACATTACAAAAGCGTATACCAATGAGATGATATTGTTATGGATATGAATTCCAAATTTTCGATTAATATCTTAGTCTTACAGGTTTGGTGCGCAAAACAATATATACTTGTATTGTACCAAAGATGGTTCATTTACCAAACTCCCAAGGTATGTACACAACTTGGTAAAACATAATCGTGACATAGTTGCACATATTAAAATAGATGAAGATGATCAATTTGAGTTCGTGTATATCGCGCTTGATTGCTTGGTGATTAATACTCTTTTATGATGTCCAATGGTGCAAAATCGACATTTTAATGTATGTTTCATACCTATGAGTCAGATCATTTATAATACGTTTTTGATTATTTAAACTTTCATTCGTTAACTTAAAATAAAATCTTACATACTTATTTTTATGTACTTTTCGATATAAATTCGAGTTTCTTTATGCTTTGACGTGAAATTTATGTATGTTTTTGTGCTTATTTTTATATGCATTTGTAAGTGCAACTTTAGTCATATATATACGTTTTCAAACGACGAATAAATTCGAGTCGGTCAGTGGTACCGACATCATATATTTATCTACCAACAAATGTAAAAGTACCAAATTTTATCAATATAATCGTCAAAAAATTCAACTTATGAAACGGATTGACGCCGCGGCAAAATGATATTTTCCATTTCCACCCGCTACTTTTTTTTTTCTACTTTCTAAGATGATATTTTCTATCTCTTTACTTATCCGACAAAAACAAAAGACATATTTAATTATATTTCAGACTAACATTCTGAATTCTTCATGGACATTCCATATTACATTCGGAATGTGAGTACCATTCAAAATTCTTTTTTAATTGATAATCTAGATTTACTTTTTTGAGTAAATTACACGAATGGTCCCTATGGTTTAAGGTAATTTGCATGTTTGGTTCTTAATTTATCTTTTAACTCGGAAGATTCCTATTGTTTGTTTTTGTTACGCGCTTGTTTCTATCTTATTAAAAAAAAACTATTTTGCCTTGATTTATTTATTTATTTAAATAAACACACCCCTTCACCTTACCTTACATACGACACCATTTTTTCATATTTAAATAATTGTTTTTTTCGGTAAAACAGGGACCAAACACATTACAAAAACAAATAGTGGTAACCAAACGCGTAACAAAAACAAACAGTAGGAACTTTTCCGAGTTAAAAAAATAAGTTCGAGACCAAGCGCGCAGATTACCCCAAACCATAGGACTATTCGAGTAATTTACTCTTGTTTTTTCTGTAAAGAGTGGTACTAAAATGTACTTATATGGTCATAATGGCTAAAATAAAAATTATCACGTTCCAGAGTTATTTATCGTATTCCGAAATTGTTATACGCAATCCAGAATATTATAAAATTGTTTGTAAACTAAAAATACAAGTAAATAAAATAGTGAAACTAACTTGGTTTATTGAATTCATAACAAAGAAAGCTTAAATTTTTTTGAAATTTGGGGAGCAAAAGGTTTGTAATATGATAATGTCCGAAATATTGATTCTTGTTTTGGTGTGATCCTGTATATATAACATTGACATAGTAATAGTTTGATCCGTTCCGAAATGGTCATTCGTGGTTAGTTTTACCAAAAGAAAAAAATAAAAAAGCTAAAAAGTTGTTATTATTCGTAAAATAATATAAAAAAAAAACTATATAATATATTTTTTCATAGAATATTTATCTTAGTTTTATGGTCTATTATATACTTATTGAAAATATCTTTTAATCGGATAGACATTAAACGGAACCATACCAAAAAAAAGGGACTCACTCATCGACAACTACCGGAGATGCTCGTAATTGGACCGGCAACCGCCGTTCCCATTCCCGCCGGCCGCTTTACTCGGGGCTGCTGTCTTCTTTCGAAATCAAGCAACGTTTTCGTTCCCTGGTACTACTTGCATACCTACATCTTACGTATGAAGGGTTGCAAGTAGCCTTCGTAACTACTTGCAATCCTTCAACATTTCTCCCATTCAACTGCAATCGTAATAACTACATACATTCAGATTTTGCAAATATAATGTTTCTTTTGAGACTACTCTCGCTACAGCTATTGCAAATTGTTCGATGTACGCACCTAATTTTAATTTGTAGCAGATAATGTTCTAAAAATCGTTAAGCTAGGCTGATCTTATTTTGTTAATCGACTGAGTGTAGGAATACGATTACGAGAAATAATAATTTGACAAAGGATGGAATTAGAGCTTCCGCCGGGCAGCTGTTAGGTCCTGTTGAACAGGCAAAGCCTCAGCTGTATCATCCGTTAGAGGACATTTCAGATTGTGAAGAATCGGATGAGAATGGGGACGCCATACTTAAACCTGCTGAAACTAGTCGGACTATTATCGAGGTAACTTTCACACATGTAAACAACCACCTACCTAAATTGACACTTTCATAGATGTAAATTGATCATAAGATGTTATTTTCAGACGAACAGCAAAGGTTTGCTTATGTTCTCAGGTCTGGTCAGTGATGAGGTCTATGAGAATGTGTTCTTGCCTGATTTGCCTTATGTCAAGGGTGAACATGGAAGTAAGTTCTTCCTCATTCCATCTTTCTATTATGATACCTCTTGTCTTTTTGAATATAATTATTGGCATTTTTTCAGATATATATTTCCAAGTGAAGAATGATGAAGATGTTCTGCAAGCTCTTGCTTATGGGGATAACCTTGTGGTAAGATTAGGAAACATGATCTGTTGTTCTAGTGAACTTATGTGAGAATTAAAAAAAGAATCAATTAACAAACTAAGTCAATGCAGCAAGTCATAATAGGCTTAGACACCACAGAAATGGTGAATGAGATGGAGTCATTAGGTCAATCAGACGATGATTCTGATTTTGAGGATGAAGATAGTGATTTTGAAGATGATGAAAGTGACAACTATGGAAAGGTGATAACTGAAACTTCATTGATTTTATTTCTCTTCTTTCATGTTCTTGATCATGCTTATATGTTGCAGGATTGGGTTTCAGTTCTAGATGATGGGGATGAAGATTCTGATAGGTCCCTTGGTGATTGGGCAAAATTGGAAACCATGCGATTGTCCCATCCAATAGATTTTGCTAAACAGCTGGCAGATGTAAGCATTATTTACTGTCAAGTGTTGTTATGAATCCATAAATAATTTCAACTTTTTTTTTTTTTTTTTTTTTTTCCTGTTCTTCAGTTTGTATCAGAGGTTCCTATAAACTACATGGAAAAGCCTCCTTCTGGGATTTCTATTCATGGCCTTCTGAGACCTGCATTTGTTGGAGAGAATTCAAAACAAGAATTGCAGAAGGATGAGAGCTTTGGAAATGGGACTTCATATTATAAGTTAGAAATGATCAAAATGCAATTGATTTCAGCACATGGAAATCAGGTATTTTGTGATTTTAACATACTACCCTTGAGTTTTTTTTCTCTTCATATTAAGTCCTCTTTGTGTAAGCCTTACATAAGGTCTCTTTTCTTTTCTAGACAGATTAAAAATGAGACTAAATGACAATTTTACCCTTAAATGATTTGGTAAATTTTATAGGCTTATGTTGAAGTGGAAGATTTTAGCAGGTCTGGACCCGATGCAGTTGCACATTCAGCTGATAAAATAATATCTCGGGTAAAATCTGGTGGAGATAAAATGACACATGCTTTTAAATCGTTATGTTGGAGATGCAAAGGCATTCAAGTGGAGGTAATCTACAAATCCCTTTTATCTTTGTATTATTATTATTTTTTTTTGATGTTTTGAAATGAAAAAAAAAAATGCTTTTTACATGATATATATAATTTTTATAATTTTGTTGTTGGTAAATGCTAATTGTGTGGGGTAAATTATAGGAGGTAGCTCTTATTGGTGTTGACAGCCTTGGATTTTACTTACGAGTGTGTTCTGGTAGACAAGTTGAGACATTACGGTTCACATTTAAGAATCGGGTAATTACTAAACCTCATTTGTTACACTGAACAGGTTGTACTGTGTTTGACTGAGACTGATGCCAGTGGGAATCGTTCAAAAGTAGTATTAATGTTTTGGTTGGATTGCAGGCGTCCTCAGAGTATGGTGTTGAGAGCCAGTTGAATGGATTGCTCTTCCCTTTAACCACGAGCCAGCAGCTGAAGAAAGAAGTTAAACTATGAGTGATATAGCATACAGGTGTAAAATAACTAACAAAAACAAATATCTTAATAACATTTAATGATTTATGATATGTTAAGTGATTTGTTTTTTACATAATCAGTATTTTTAAATTACATGATTAAAGATATGAAGATATAACTAGTTACTATATATTTCATCAACAACAAACACTAAGAATTTCATTAAAGGGGGACACAGGATGTAGACGTCGACAGACGACAGTCATTCCTCCACCAGGGGTGAGTGACTGTGTCACAGGAAGACCTCTGACATGAGCAAAATGGAAACCTCTACGTCTGTCTAACGCCTACAATGCAGTGTACGTAAACGTTAAACCTAAAAGTATGACTTGTAAATGAGTGGTAACACAATTAGTAATAGATTTTTCTTTTGTACATACAAATAGTTAAAACTCTTCTATTTATTTATATTAAATTATTTAAATTACAAATAAATTTTTTCGAAGTTTTCACTCTATCTATAGAAATTCACGAATTGCTCATCTATCAATACAATTTAGACACTGTCAAAGTGCATACAAATCCATACGATCTCTATGTGGGTTAGTGGGTGACGTTGCACCCCTAAAATTAGTATATTTCAACTTAAAAAAAAAAAAACTACAACATTTTTATTTTTTAACAATATTTTTCTCAAGTTTAAAATTTTACACTTTCTAAGTTTCAAATTGATTCAAACCGAGCGAAGGCTATAAAGACGAATTTAAACCGAAGCAAGAATGAAGCTAAGACACCTTTTGATCCATACCAAACACAGTTTAACGGTTTAACCAAACCTTGGGGTTGAGAACTTGAAATATTTTTATGTAAGTTTAATAATTTGTTTAAACTATTATTTAGTCTTATAAATATATTTATTTATTAATAAAATGTTATCATTATTACTTTTATATTTTTGTTTTATCATAAAAAAAATATATGATAAAAATCACCCAACTACTCTTACTAATGCTGTCTCTATTTGGAAGTAAAATGAATCTCTTGGTATAAACTTCTTATATCTTCTTAACTATGGGATATTTTAACAAAATATTTTTTTGAAAAAGATATTGAGTAACACACGTGTCCGCTAATCCACTTGTAAACTAAGGCCCAAAATAGAAGTCTTGAAGCCCATTTACTCTAAAAAGGAAGGGCTTCTTCTTTTCTTTGCACACCCAACCCAAATAATTCCTATTTATTTATATGTAATTCTAGGGTTTCTGCCTTCTGGTGCTGCGCGGATTGTAAACAGGAAATCGCATCCTCCATCTCTTCTGATCTCTTCCGCCTTTCCGAGCAGCAACCATGGTAATTCTACTTCTTCTTCATAATTCTAACGCCATCAGTAATCATCACTAGAACACAATTCTTACAAGGATTTCAGATTTTATACTCACTTCTGTTGTTTTTTTTCAGATTATCCCTGATAAGAATCGTAAGGCGATCTCCAAGTACCTCTTTCAAGGTCTGAAATTCTCCCTTTTTGTACTTTTATTCATGTAAGTTGAGCGTTTCATGGTGATTGACTGCTGTTGGCATCTATCTTTGTATGTAGAGGGCGTCTGTTACGCCAAAAAGGATTACAACTTGGCGAAGCACCCGGACATTGATGTCCCAAATCTGCAGGTGATTAAACTGATGCAGAGCTTTAAATCAAAGGAATATGTTCGCGAGACATTTGCTTGGATGCATTATTACTGGTACCTCACCAACGATGGGATCGAGTTCCTCAGGACTTACTTGAATCTTCCTTCTGACATTGTTCCCGCCACTCTCAAGAAGTCCGCCAAGCCCCTTGGACGTCCCATGGGTGGCCCTCCCGGCGACCGCCCTCGGTAGCTATTCAAACACTATCTCCATCTTCAGTTTTTAGGTTTCATCAAGTCTTTAAATTTGTTGTTTCATTTGTGTTTGTGGTTACTCACAGTGGCCCGCCAAGATTTGAAGGAGACAGACCGAGATTTGGTGACAGAGATGGATACCGTGGTGGACCTAGAGGTCCTGCCGGTGAATTTGGTGGGGAGAAGGGTGGAGCACCGGCTGATTACCAGCCTGCTTTTAACAGGGTAATTTTTCTTCAAACACTTTGTCTGCGTTTATAATAGTTTACTTACTGGTTTACGAATTACCATACTCAATTTTTGTGGTAGTGATTTCAATTAGGATTAGATACGAGGTAACATATTTATTCTCAATTGTAGTTTCATCAAAGCTTGTTATATAAAATCAAATTCTTATGAACATAATAGAGTCCCCCTTTTCGAATTCATTTCCTTAATCATAACTGTATTTTTGGGTTGATGTTTTTCTCAAAAATGCTGAAATTGTCATCTTTTTTTTTTCACATTTAGTATGTTTGATACTCATAGATAGAAATAATAACTGTTTGTTATTTTCATTCTATGTGCTGATGCAACTAATATATGAAACTACTCAACATTTGTAAAATCGTTAGTAACTAATAACTAATAATTTGTAAGTCAGTGATGTCTAACTTACAGTCTACTGAAAATTTCAGGGTGCTGGAGGAAGGCCCAGCTTTGGCCGAGGAGGTGGTGGTTTTGGAGGTGGTGCAAGTGGTGCACCACCAAGCCCAAGTTTTTCTTAAACATTCTATTTGTTGCTAAGTGTTTGCAGACTCTAGTTGAATTCTCTAAATCTTATTTCAGTTTCTGTAATGCTGTGTTTTGTTTCAGCTATCATAGCAAATGGAGGTTATACAATTCTACAATTTTGTTAACTTTTGAGTTCCATTTTCACTTTGATGATCTTTTTAAAGTTTAAAATGCTAGTGGTTGTTGATCTTCATATGTTGTATTCCATGATTTTTTTTGTTTGAGCTCTTACTCAGATTTTAAGTTTTTCTGTTGATCTTCATTATATTTTCAACTAAATCCCTTTTGCATATGGTGCTACTTTAAGGTTGATGGTGGTTTAATGTTTAACTAGAAGCGGCTTTGAAGCTTTTAATTTAATTTAGTTTTTTGAATTTAGTTTTTTGAATAATAAAAATAGTTTGTCTTTTATCTGGTCAACAAAGTTGTAAATATTAGTTGTTATTTAAACATATAAATAACCATATTAGTTGATTTTTATAAAATGGTTGCATCGAGATCTTTTGAAAAGACATCGTTTTGATCATGCAACAACCTGAGGGCTAATATTCTCTTGTCGGAGTACCAAACAAGTTGTTTATAGAATAGTCTTAAAATTCATATCTGAAAAAAATCATGTATTATCAGATTGTTAGCAAAAATATAAAATAAAAATAACGGATAAAATAGAAAATTTTTAAATCTGTATCTAAAAAAATCATGTATTAGATTGTTAGCAAAAATAAAAAAATAAAAATAACGTATAAATTGTTATTCACCTACTTACCATAAAAACATATAAAAAGCTCTTTAGGGTCTTAGGTAATTTTTCAAGATCCGATGTATATGTTTTGGAGATAGTAATCAGGTGTGATTACAACTGATTACAAATTATCCTTTCACATGGATATTTATAATATAAAAAAATCTCAATTAAAATTTTAAAAAATATTAATAATGATAATTAATTCCCACATGATATATGTAACATAAAAAAATTCCAATTAAATTTCTGAAATTTTTTAGTTATAGTCCATAATTTATAGATTACAGAAATCTTCAGAAAAGTCACAAAGTGTTGGGTCAATTTATTATCTAGTCCTAAATTAAATTTCATTAATGAAAAAGGATACGAAACTGGTTATTGTAATCACTTTAACCTATTTTTACCTTTTGCAATAGTTTACCTGTTGATGTGATATATCATATGGATGATTTGATTTATATAACAGTTGATGTGACATGCCCTTTCTTTTATAATGTAAAAAAAATGATTTAAAAAAAAAAAACGGAAGGGGAATCAAACCCGTGACATTTCAACTCCCAAACTATACACCTTACCATGTGAGCTAGAAACATTTATTACTATTACTTCTTCAGATGTATTTATTAAGTTTTTATAATTTACCTTTAATTACCATCTGAAATTTCGCATCTTTCTCTTTCTAACCCTTCTTCTTCCCCTACATATTTCTTCTAACTTCGATTCTCTTATCTCATGTCATTCTTTTCACTGTCAAAGCCTCTCTCAAATGGGGTTTCCAAGAATCTTCATGATTTCACTAGAACAAACGTACTCACCATTGATGTAGGTGGTCAACTCTTTCAAACAACCATACAAATCCTAACCCTAATTGGGTCCAATACCCTTTTCTCCAACCTCTTCAATTCTTTTGAACAACCACATAATCCCTTTTATTAGTAGAGACTTTGAATTTGTTTTCGATTCTTTTATCTATATTAAGAACAGGGAGTCTTCTATCAAAAGCCAAATGCTTTGAGATTCAAGCTATTGTTTTTTGAAGCGAAGTTTTATGGGGTTGAACATCTTCTTGTTCAGTCTTAATCGGTGTCAGTTTCAAATAGGTTTTAGCGTACGTACCGACAAATTGGAGAAATAATTCGAGTTTCGACAGGGTTTTGGGGAAGGAAATGGAGGCAAGACAAAAGGTATATCGAATGGTCCTATTATGGTCCTGTTGGGCTGATGTGGGGAGTAAGATGAAAGTTATAAAGCTTTATAAATGAAGTTAAAGAAATAATAACAATAAGACTTTCTATTTCACATGGTAAGATATAAGGTTTGAGAGTGTTAGGTCACGGGTTCGAGTCCACCTCCCCTTTTTTCTCCGACAAATCAGATATAAAGAAATGGCATGCCATATTAGCTGCCACCTCAGCCAAACAGTCCATTTGGCACGCCACCTCAGCAACCTGCTACAAAAGGTAAAAAGGGTTAAACTGATTATAATAGTCGGTTTCCTGTCTTTTTTCATTAATGAAATTTAATTTAGGAATAGATCATAAATTGACCCAAAACTTTGGGACTTTTTTGGAGATTTCCCTATAAATTAACAACATGATACCTGTTGATTTCATCAAGGTTGAATACCAAAGCGAAATACTCCTCTAAAACAAGTTGTTTAACCAACCGCTCATTAAGCTCCTTCTCTAACAAATAAGGAAGACATACAGAGACCGCATCCTCGTCCGATAAGTCATTAAGCGAATGTTTAAACACATTTCATATAGTTTGTTTTGGAGGTCCGGTGACAAGATAATTTTTTTCTTCCGAAAGACAGCTCGTAACCCCCAATCTAAAAAAACCATTTCCTCTATTTCGCTTTGGGGGTCCGTGATAACTTTATGACAAAAGATGTAATGTAGCAGCAAATGATTCTCATTTACATTAGGAATGTGTAACCATCTCCCACACATGAATTCTTGAACATAGTCTCACATGTCAGTCTGTCTTTGAATGCCACAAAAATATCTCCGCCGATTTTCGGTTTACAAGACAGTGTAATGGATGCATCAAAAACCCTGTCGTGCTGTAGTAAAAAAATTGTTATAAACCAACTTCAAAACAAAAACTGACCAACATTTCGAACTAGTTCTTAGTGTTCTGGACCTATTCTACATGTTCCAGACCAATTCCTCGCATTCCGGAGCGTTTTAGAATGAAATTTTATGTTCTAGAACACTAGACTTTGATGTATAGTAACATTACATAAACAACTAAACTACTTTTGGGTTGGTCCTAATGCAATGACATCATATACTGCAACTCCGAAACATTGTTGATTCATTCCGTAGGTGTTCTTCGAATTCTGGAATGCAACGTTTTGTTCCAGATCAGTACTTTTCGGAGAATATTCACATTATACAAACAACTAAACTAGGTTTGGGTTTATCATAATGCACTGTCATCTTCTATTGCAACTTTGGAACATTATCATCTCATTCCGGATGATATAAATATAAAAAAAATCTTAAGTTGGAATAAATAACTTACCCGTAAAACAATCAGGTCATAGTGATCGTCTTCCATATCGGAGTGACGTGTCGTAGATCGGAATCGGAATCGGAGAGTCGGAATCGAAATCGCATGTCGGAGATCGGAATCGGAAAGTCGGAGCGAGATCCAGAATGAACTCGGGATCCGGAATGAAGTCGAGACCCGAAAGTTTTTATAATATATTCCAAATTTAAAATTCTAATCCGAGGTCCATAATACATACAAATACTTCGAAATAGCCATTATGGAGGAAATATAATGGGCTGGCACACCAAAATACGGGTCCAAAATTGTTTCCGAAATGGCTCACTCTGAAGAAAATGGTTATTTAAAAAAAATTAATGAGTTATTTAAAAAAACACACAAAAAAAATTAATGAGTTATTTGATAAAAAACATACAAAAAAGTGGTTGGTTTACTCAATTTCCCTTTTTTTTAACGCATGTATATTTTGTTGCGTGTGAATGAACAATAGATAAAAACAAGTTTTTATCCATCTTTACACTCATCTTCATCTTTTGTATCATGCCCTAATGGTTATTTTTTTGAACAACGGTTTAATAAATAAATGAGATTGAACCCATGACCTCTTTGTTAGAAACACCTTGTTAGCCAAGCATGCTAACCTCAATTTGTAAATATTATGCAATGTCATTGTCAGTTCTACGGATATAGTTTTTTTTACAACGACGAGTTAATATATGTCTTAGTTTGAACTCATGACTTTCATGTCCAAAAACACATTGTTATATACCTTATTAGTCAAGTTGGTTAATCCCAACTTGTCAGTTCAAGTATTAATAACCTAGATCATTAGCATAACTTTCTATGACAAATTTATAAACAATAAATCAAAACCATCATAATGTAGAACAATTGTTATAAAATGACACTTGTGAAATCTCCTCAAAAGTTTTGGTCAAAAGTTTTACTTAGAATGATCAATACAAAAAGGAATAGCATATCACAATGGCTAAATGATGATGATGATCTTGAGTGTAGGGAAAATTTAAAAAAATTGTTTTACTTGTGTGTTATTGTGTTAAAATTAAAAAATAACAAGTAATATGAATGGTCCTATAATTTAAGGTAAATTGCATAATTTGTCCCAATTTTTTTGAACTCATATGTTTTTGTTGAAAGGTATGAACGAATATATTAGCTAAAAACAAGTTTTTATCCATCGTAAGACTCCATCTTCATCAACCGGACCATTCACTAATGGTCAATTTATAAGTAATAGTCCAACGTAGACTACTACAACAAATGCCTTAAAAGACCAATTAAGTTTAAAAAACGTTCATATTACCCCAATTACGTTTTTGTTGTTCACAAAAAACCAACGAAATAATGTTTTTTATTATAAATCCAAATAAAGTTACGAATAAAAATAAGGTTTTTTAATGGTGACCGGCATGTTGCAGGTAAACGATGGGGGTAAATGAGTTGGCATATTTCTGTTGAGTTGGCATATGTGTTGGCATATCTACGTGGCATTTGTGTTAGATAAATATAGGGCATAATGGGGGATACGACTCCTTAATCAATTGACTTCTTCAACATGGCTTCTTCGTCTCGATCCTCCAACTCATGCTCAAGATCAAAAATTTCCAAGTCAAAAAGCACAATTGATAAGGCACATCCTTGTGATTGTGGGTTTCCTTCTCGCATCTGGATATCAACAACAAAGGCAAATCCTGGTAAAAAATTTAGGGTTTGTCCTAACTCTTTGGTAAGTATATATCTAAAAGCTTGTTCTTGTTTGGGTCCCTTTTTGTTTTTCATGCTACAATATTGTTTGTTTATGTTATAATTGAAGATGAAGGATCCAAAGGATAAATGTGATTTCTGGGAATGGGTTGATGATGATGAAGAAATTATAACCAAGAACGAGAATAAGAAAGATGAAGAACATGATTTCAATACTGAAGTGAAGATTGCAATATTGGAACATGATTTCAGTGAGTACAAGATGAAGACTGATAAGGAATGTAAGAGTTTTAGAAAGGAATTGGATAAAATGAAATGTTTAGTGTTGATGTTTGTTGTTTTGTTTGTAGTGAAGTACATGATTTAGTGTTAAGTTTATTATGTAAGGAAAATGTACTTTGAAATTATCAGGATATGTATCTTCAAAGTAGTTGCATTGTACTCATGTAAAATGGTTACGAAGTGGGAATGAAAAGAAGGTCTTTGTGAAGGCTGATACACATAGAAGGTGTTTATGAAGGCTAATAGTCCATAAAAGTAACATACTTTTTATTGATTGAAAATAGCAAGGGCAAAATAGTCCATAATAAGATTACACTTTATCTAATGATAATAGGAAGGGCAAAATAGTCCATAAAAGGATTGCACTTTATCAAATGATAATAACAGGGACAAAATAGTCCATAAAACATGTGTTTGACATTATGCATATAATTTGTGTTGTAAATGGTTTTTAAACACAAGGGCAGTTTTATTGAAAACACACATAATAGCAACATACTTTTTATTGATTGAAAATAGCAAGGGCAAAATAGTCCATAATAAGATTACACTTTATCAAATGATAATAGGAAGGGCAAAATAGTCCATAAAAGGATTGCACTTTATCAAATGATAATAACAGGGACAAAATAGTCCATAAAACATGTGTTTGACATTATGCATATAATTTGTGTTGTAAATGGTTTTTAAACACAAGGGCAGTTTTATTGAAAACACACATAATAGCAACATACTTTTTATTGATTGAAAATAGCAAGGGCAAAATAGTCCATAATAAGATTACACTTTATCAAATGATAATAGGAAGGGCAAAATAGTCCATAAAAGGATTGCACTTTATCAAATGATAATAACAGGGACAAAATAGTCCATAAAACATGTGTTTGATATTATGCATGTAATTTGTGTTGTAAATGGTTTTTAAACACAAGGGCAGTTTTATTGAAAACACACATAATAGCAACATACTTTTATTGATTGAAAATAGCAAGGGAAAAATAGTCCATAATAAGATTACACTTTATCAAATGATAATAGGAAGGGCAAAATAGTCCATAAAATCTGTGTTTGACATTATGCATGTAATTTGTGTTGTAAATGGTTTTTAAACACAAGGGCAGTTTTGTTGACAAAATAGTCCCACAAAACAGTTTTTACCAATTTTAACATAGTTTTAACAAATAGGGGCAAAATGGTACATTGTTATAATATGCATAAAAGGTAATAAACTACATATCAAAGCATAATTAAACCACATAATCAAGCATGTGCACATGGCACTAAATGTTGGTAAATGTGCACAACACCAAAAGACAAGCCTAAGCATCAAAAAGACAAGCCTAAGCACCAAAAGATGTGCACTAAGCACCAAAAGATGTGCCATTTCAAAGTATCTGACATAATCCTAATAGAACACACTTATCCTAGTTTATAGTAACTGGATTTTCAGTACTTTCCCCACTTCCATCTTTTGTTACCACCTTCTTCCTTAACTTCAGTTTCGTGATCCTCTCAGAAGGTAATCGCCTTTTGTTCGCAACAAAATGCTGAAAAAAAACAGGTTGATGCTGATGGTGATGATTTTCTTGATGGTCAATCTCATCCTCTTGTTGTTCAATTTCATCCTCCTGGTGGTCTTCAATATCGCCTTCTTCAACAGCCTCTTCTTCACCAATTCCATCTTCACTAACCCCATCTCCCTTGACCCTATCTTCATTGACCCCATCTTCACTAATCCCATCTTGACTAATCCCTTCTTCAACATCCCCTTCACTAACAGTTGCTTTATTTGCTGCATTGTTAAAACAAAAATAATAATTATTATACAAATGTAGATGAATGAATAATCAAAATAAAAACGAACCTTCTTTGAGCAATGGACATCGCCTCTTGTTGTGTCCTTCTTGATGACAATTACTACATCTTGAGATGGACATCCCTGTCTTGTTAATTTTATGCTTTCCTTCATTTTCTGTAGGACATTTCATTCTGTTTACTTTGGGCCTTCCTGGCATTCTCCTACGCCGAGGTGGTAATATGGGATCAAATAGAACATCAGGCCACATGTTAGCTCCATTTATTGGTTTGAATGGATACCTATAGCAACTTCCAAACATGCTTGTTTTAAACCATATGGCTACATAGTCCTCTGCATTTCAATTCAGGTATAATATAGCAGCAATGGCATGCACACAAGGGATACCACTGAGTTGCCAGGCTCTGCAACCACAAGTTTTGCTTTCAAGGTGAACAACATAAACTTCATGGGCTAATTTCACTTCATATTCTTCCTCGCCACTTGGAATAACATCCCAGTACCTGAAATCATATTAAGAAGGTAAGTTATTTCATATTAAATCACTTACAATTAAATAATATACCTTTGTTCTTCTTTCATCTTCTCAATCCTCTTTTTAATAGAGGGGCAGATTCCCATGTCCCACTTATGCCCCTTAATCTTTTGATTGTATATCCTCTCCATCACGTACAATCTGATTTCTTCCAACATTGTTATTATTGGTTTCTTCCGGGCCTCTACAATTGCTGCATTGAAAGATTCAGATATACCGTTTTCCACCGCATCACAACAAGTCTGAGGTTCAAAGAATGCTCTGCACCATGTATTTGGGTCTCTTTCTATCAGGTGCTCATAAGCTTCTGTGGACATTGTACGAATTTCCCTCATGTATGATCGGAAATTGGAATCGGTTGTAGCCTTTGCAGCACTCCAAAATAACCTCCTAAACTCAACACCCGTGAACCCCTTCTTCTTAAAGTTGGCATAGATGTGTCGGGCACAATTCCTATGCTCACATGATGGTGCCCTTTCCTTAACAACCTCCATTAAATCCTACAAGGTGATAACAAATTTCAGTTTTAAAGTACATAATAACACATAATACAGTAAGTAAAATGTAAACTATAACACACCTTGTGTTGGTCTGAAATAATTGTAAGACCCCTACCATCTCCCATCTCAATGTCCTCAAGTAGAAGATCAATGAACCACATCCAAGTTTCCTTGTTTTCAACTGGCACAACAGCCCATGCTAGAGGATACATTTGGTTGTTTGCGTCCCTACCAACGGCTGTTAACAACTCACCTCTGCAAATACCCTTCAAAAAACAGCCATCAACACCGATAACCCTTCTACATCCTTCAATCCAGCCATCCTTGATAGACTTCCGGCAAATATACATCCTTTTGAAGTAGTGTGTAGCATCAGGCGTATGATTTGTCTCGATGAAGACTGTTGACCCAGGATTAACCCTCAATAACTCAGCACCATAATTCCACAGTTTCTCATAATGGCTTACCAAATTGCCTGAAATCTCATCTAGTGCAAAGTACTTGGCATTTCTACACTGCCCAAGACTTACCTTGAGACCATAATCTTTCCTAACCACTTCTGCCATTTTCCTATAGCTAAACTTAGGCCTTTCCAAAATGTCAGGTATTAACATTTTTCCAATCTACTTATACGTAACAAGACAACCCAATTTTTGTTGTCTAGCACAATTATGTTTATCAATTAGTGACTTGATCTGGAATGAATTTTCCTTGTTCATGGGACTAGCCCATAGTCTAAAAGGGCAAGATGGCTTCCCTTTTTCATTTTTACTGCACCTTACTAACAATGCTTTTGCCTCATTTTTTTCATACCACAATGAATAACCCTTAGACACAGCATAATTTGTTAACATATGTTTCAGTTCATCTCGATCAGAGAATTTCATACCTAACTCAGGCATCATAGTGTCCCATTTTTGGTTTGGATCGTGAATAGGATGTTTTTTTACCTTACCACCAGCTTCTTCCTCTATGCCTCTTTGTGGAATAAGGTTCTTTGTGACAAAAAAGGATCAACAACTTCAGCCATTGAATGTCCTCATCATCAGCTTCATGGTCCACCGATAGATCATCCGATAATACCGAGTCCACATCATCTTCATATGTTTCAGTACCACTATCCCATTCTTCAGCTTTTTCTTCTTCAATCCAATCTAATAAGGGTTCATGATGGTCATCAATGTAGATACTTATTTGATTATCATCATCATCAAACCCAGCATCAAGGAACCTAACATAATCATCTTCATCCCTGAGCTCCCTTAACCCATCTACGAGGGACCGATTTTTAAGACAGTAATACATATCCCGACATCTATTGTTGATCAATTTTTGGAGATAGGTCTTGAACTTCTTGAAATCCATGTTACGTACATCTAGCCCCATAACAGGTACTTTATCAGGATGAAAGTAAACCAAGGGATTAGGAGAAAAAACACCTTGATGGTAGACATCAATGTTGAGTGAGTCACGAGACACGCTTGTTGCACGAGACATCAATGTTGAGTGAGTCACGAGACACGCTTGCTGCTGAGAACCCTTGCTGCACAATCGACTAACTTTCCTTCACCTTCTGTAAAAATCAATTTCACTGTCACGAGTTCACCGTTATGTAAGAACCCTAGATATCGATTTCACCCTTCACTGAGAACCCTTGATGGTGAATCGATATCCTTGTGGCACTTATGTTTGATGTAATGTGTTTTAATAATCCATGTCAGATTATCACCGGTAAACAAAGAATCGTAACCCACAGATGCCGGTCACCATTAAAAAACCTTATTTTTATTCGTAACTTTATTTGGATTTATAATAAAAAACATTATTTCGTTGGTTTTTTGTGAACAACAAAAACGTAATTGGGGTAATATGAACGTTTTTGAAACTTAATTGGTCTTTTAAGGCAATTTCCCGTCAAATTTATAAGCAATAATTTAATATCATTATAATATAGACCACTTGTTATAGAAAACACATCGAAAACTTCTCAAAATTATGATCAAAAGTTTCACTTAGGATTTCGATGGTTAATTGGCGTGATGATTTTTGAAATTTAATAGCACGACTTGAATTTGAATAGTCAAATGCTGACGATTTTAGGAATTTAATGGCCATTTGATTATTACGTCATATATGATTCAAAACAAGTTTACTAGGTGACAATATCCAACATCAAACGGTGTCATGAAATTTCAAAAAGTCGTTTTATTTATCACATCAAACGGTGTAATGAAATTTCAAAAAGTTGTTTTATTTATCGTATCAAAAAATAATTACACGAGTGGTCCTTATGGTTTAAAGCAAATTGCATAACTAACCCCTAATTTCTTTTAACATAGGTATATTTTTGTTGCAATATGTGAATGAACACTAGATAAAAACAAGTTTTTGTTTGTCCTAACACTCCATCTTTATCTACCAGACCATGCCCTAGTGGTCTATTTATGAGTAATAATTTTAAGTATTAATAACATAAACTACTATCATAATTCTCTATCTGTCAAATTTATAAAAAATAATCCAAAAACATCATAACATAGAACACTTGTTATAAAAAAGACACTTGTGAATTGTTGTTCTCAACAGTTTGGTCAAAGTTTTCATTTGAAAAATTACCAATGACTAAACGATGACGGTTTTGAGATTTAATTAGCACGTATTTAACTTAAACGTTCAAATGTTGATTTTAGGAATTCGACGGTCATTTGACTAATATATCAGATATGATTCAAAACAAGTTTAACCGAATGAAATCTCCACATTAGTGGTCTAATAAAAATTCAAAAATTTGTTTTATTTTTTTGTTAGTGTTAAAATTAAAAAATAAATGAATGAATGATCTTTATAGTTTGAAATAAATTACATAATTAGCCCCTAATTGTTTTTTAAGTTGGGTATATTTTTGGTGCAAGGTGTGAATAAACAGTAGATAAAAACAAAATTTTATCCGTCAAAAACACCCCATCTTGATCTACCAAGCCATGCCCTTATGATGCATTTATGAGTAATAGTTCAAGCTTTAATAATATAACTAATATCATAACTTTCTACATGTCAAATTTTAAAAAAATAATTTAAAACCATCAAAAGGGTGAAGGAAGTCATTCCTTTCCAACCCACCGAACTCACTGCCATATCAATTTTTGTTTTTTTTTTATTCATCTTTTCAAACCCATAACATACGGAAATCCTATCTTTTTGAACTCACTTAACCCACGCAATTAAAAAAAAAATACAAAACAACTAAGGTACAAGTTTTAAAACACATGGTACAAGAGAAAATAAAAAAGAGAAAGTAGAGAGAGATGATGATGCGGATTAGTGAAACCAATCAATTCACTCGTTGAAGCGGGAGTGGTACCGCCGATAACTCTACATGTCAAATTTAAAAACAATAATTTAAAACCATCAAAAGGGTGAAGGAAATCATTCCTTTCCAACCCACTGAACCCACTGTCACATCAATTTTTGTCTCTTTTTTTTATTCATCTTTTCAAACCCATAACATATAGAAATCCTATCTTTTTGAACTCACTTAACCCATGCAATTAAAAAAAAAATACAAAACAACTAAGGTACAAGTTTTAAAACACATGGTACAAGAGAAAATAAAAAAGAGAAAGTAGAGAGTGATGATGATCCGGATTAGTGAAACCAATCAACTCACTCGTTGAAGCGGGAGTGGTACCGCCGATAAGTCTATTGCTAATTAAGATTTTACCTTTGATTGTTTTGTATTTTTTTTAAGAGAAAATGACAAAAATAGCCATTTACACTAATGACATTACAAAAATAACCAAAAAAAAATCGAAATTACAAAATTAGCCAACGATTTCACAGATGGAGATGCCCCATCTGCGAAATGAGCATCTCATCTGCGAATGTACAAACACCTAAAGCACAGCTGTGTTTTAGGTTTTTGTACATTCGCAGGTGCTTTTAATTTTTTTTTTTAATTTTTTTTTCTGTATATATAGGGGTAAAATCGCAGATGGAATAGGTCCATCTGCGATTTACTCTCACGCTATCTGCGAAATTGCGATTTACTCTCACTCTAATCTTTTATTATTTGTTATCTGTGTGCTTGTTGTTTGTTTCTTTGATTGCCTCTTATCACTCTATTGAATATGCATCCTAGAAAGTATGTTTAGAAGTGAAAAATGAAAGAAAAAACAAAAAATTGAACAAGATAATGAAACTCAAAAAGGGTCTATGCATAGGTTTTTTAAAAAATAAAAATAGTTCTGCTGATGTACAAGTAAATGAACAAGATAATCTCGTACATGAAACTGTTTTTAAAGAGCAACATAATGTCTTGAATGAAAATGTTTCTCAAGAAAAAGTTTCAAATGAAAATGTTGATTTTGACGATGAAAAGATTAATAATGAAGATGTTAATGTCAATAATGAAAATGTTAACATTTCAAATAAGAATGAGAATGAAAATGTCATGAATGATAACAATGAACAATTTATTCCACCTTTAGATATATATGATCCTAGTAATTGAGATAATCTTGATAATAACTTAAAATATATTTTGATTGAAAAAGGGTCAATAAGATAATCAAATTTTGTGTATCCTAAAGATAATCTATCTAGACATTTTTCTTATGCTTCTTATACTAGAAAGTTAAGTAATGGTGAGACGAGTGATCGAAAATGGTTAATTTACTCAAAAAAAAAGTTGATAAAGTGTTTTGTTTTTGTTGTAAATTGTTTAAACCTAATAATTATGTTAATAAAATTTCTTTAGAAAATGATGGATTTAATGATTGGAAACATCTATTTAATAGACTTAAAGAACGTGAGTTTTAACTACAAAAGAACGTTGGAGGTAAGTTTTAAAAAGAATAATTGTTGTCATTAAATATTTGGCAAAATATAATTTGGCTTTTCGAGGTTGTCACAAAAAACTTTTTCAAGAATCTAATGGTAATTTTTTGGGAGCAATTCAAATGATGGCAGAATTTGATGTTATAATGCAAGAACATGTTAGACACATAAAAAATCATCAAACTCATCTTCATTATTTAGGAGACAAAATTCAAAATGAAATTATTTTTATTTTAGCTAATAATTTTAGAAATTCTATAATTAATATTATAAAATAATCAAAATATTTTTCTGTTATTCTTGATTTCACCCCCGATGTTAGCTATCAAGAACAAATGACTCTTGTTATTCGATGTGTAAACATGTCTAATAATAAAATAAAAGTTGAAGAATTTTTTTTAGAATTTTTAAAGATAGAAAATACATCGGGTTTAGAACTTTTTAATGAGTTATTAAATGCAATTAAATCTTATGGTCTTAATATTGATGATGTAAGAGGACAAGGTTATGATAATAGTTCTAACATGAAAGGAAAACACCAAGGTGTTCAAAAACGATTACTTGAAATTAATCCAAAAGCATTGTTTATGTCATATGTTTGTCATAGTCTTAACCTCACGGTTGGTGATATGGCTCATTCTTGTGCCAAAGCGATTTCTTTTTTTGGAGTTTTGCAACGCATTTTTGTATTATGTTCAAGTTCAACCAAAAGATGGTCAATATTACTTGATAAAGTCCCTAACTTAACGGTAAAATCTTTATCTAATACATGTTGGGAGAGTAGAATAAAAAGTGTCAAAGCCATTAGGTTTCAAGCTCCTCATATAAGGGATGCCTTAATAGAATTAAGTTCATTGTGTGATGATGCAAAGTTTAAAAGTGAAGCTGAAAGTTTAGTTAATACTATTATAAATTATGATTTTTTAGTTGGTATGGTAATTTGGTATGATATTTTATTTGCTATAAATAAAGTTAGTAAAAAAAATGCAAACCAAAACTATGTGTATTGATGTCACAATTGATCTATTAAAAAATATGATAACATTTTTTTTAAATTATAGAAATGAAGGTTATGCCATTAGTATTGATAATGCTAAGGCCATTGCATCGGATATGGAAGTTGAACCTATATTCCAAAAAAACGCCAAATTACTACAAAAAAAAAAAAACAATTTGATGAAATTAGTTGTGAAGATGAATTACAATCACCCGAATAATCATTTAGAATTGAGTATTTTATATATATTGTTGATGTGACAATTGCATCATTAGAGAGTAGATTTGAGCAATTAACAAACTTTGAAAACATTTTTGGATTTTTATATGATTCAAAAAGGTTAAAGTCATTGGATGATATTAAACTTAAAAAAAGTTGTGTTGTTTTTGTAAATAAGTTTACTCATAGTAACTTATGTGATGTGGATTTAAATGAATTTTTGATGGAACTTAACGTATTACAAAAAACTTTGTCAAATGTTGTTATGTCATCGGTTGAAATTTTAGAGTTTGTCAAAGGTAAAGATTTTTTATCCAAATGTTTGTATTGCATATAAAATCTTATTAATCATATCAGTTACTGTAGCATCAGTAGAAAGAAAATTTTTAAATCTAAAATTATTAAAAAATTATTTAAGATCATCAATGTCACAAGAAAGATTAAATGGTTTGGCTATGTTATGCATTGAAAAAGATTTGTTGGATAATATTGAACTTGATTATATAATTGATGATTTTGCATCTAAAAAAGCTCGTAAATGTAAATGTTTTTAGTTTTTCTTTGATATGTTTATGTATTATGGTTTAGAGCAAGTTTTGGCTTTTTTATTTTATTGTTTTGTATTAATAATTGTTAGGTTGTTTGACTTCCAGGATCTGTCCCGAAGTCTTTTTTTTTTCCATAGGTGGAGAGTTCCAAACCTTCAATTATATTATTTTTTTAATTAATAAAATTTGTGGAGGTGTCACCCTCTTTTTTTAATAATAATAAAAAAAGAAACATTATGAGGGCTCCAATTTTTTTTTGGCCTCGAACCCCAAATTGTCTAGGACCGACCCTAGATAAAGTTTTTATCCATGGTAACATTCCATCTTTTCTGTCGGACCATTCCCTAATAGTCAATTTATGAGTAATACTCATTTACACTCCATCTTCATCTATCGGATCATGAATTATAGGTCATAATTTAAGATCATCATAACATAGAACACTTGTTATAAAAATGACACTATGTGCAGTTTTTTTCATCTGTTACAGTAAAAATTTCACTTTAATAGTTAAATGGTGTGATGAGTTTGAAATTAGTTAGCACGACTTCAATTTAAATAATCAAATGTTGATGATTTTAGGAATTTGATAGCAATTTAATAATTAGGTTAGATAAGATTCAAGGGATAATCTTATAAAAACCCAACATATTATCTTCAAAATCTTAAAAAAACCACTATATTATTTTTTTGTATGTTAAAACCCTTATATTTTTTAAAATGTATCATTTAAGGCATTGAGCTTGGTAAATCATGAATAGCCAAAAATGTTAGGTACTCGATTCTTGAAGTTTCTATTGTTACAATTCATTAGATTAAAAATATTTTAAAAAATATGAGGGTTTAAATACACTAAAAAAAAATATATAATGGTTTTTTTAATCCTTTCATGAAAATAAAGTAGGTTTTTCTAAGCTTCCGAAAACCTTAAATAAGAATTTAAAAAAATATAAAGGTTTTCCTGTACTAAAAAGTAATATAGTGATTTTTTTAAGTATTTGATGAAAATAGGTTGGATTTTTCTATGGTTTTCCCTAGATTCAAAACAAGTTTACTAGGTTGCAATCTCCAACATTAGCGGTGTATTAAAAATTCAAAAATTTGTCTTATGGTTTGTATTAAATTGCATAATTGGATCCTAATTTTTTTAACACGGGTATATTTCTGTTGCAAAAGTGTGGCTGAACATTAGATAAAAACAAGTTTTTATCTATCATAAGACTCCATCTTCATCATAACACTTCATCTTCATCTACCGGACCATGTCCTAATGGTCCATTTATCAATAATAGTTCATGTATTAATAACTTAGACTACTACCATAACTTTCTATTTGACAAATTTCTAAACATTAGTTCAAGACTATCATAATACATAATACTTCTTATAAAAAAAGACACTTGTGCACTCTTCTTTACAGTTTCGGTCAAAAGTTTCACTTAAAATTTATCAATTTAAAAAACTATAGCATATACCACAATGGCTAAATGGGGGGATTTTGAGATTAATTAGCACGTTTTAAACTTAAATGGTCAAATGTTTGATGATATAAGGAATTCGATGGTCATTTGACTAATACGTCGGATATGATTCAAAACAAGTTTACCTAAATGAATTCTCCACATCAGCAGTGTAATGAAAATTCAAAAAATTGTGTTTGTCTGTTAGTGTTAAAATTAAAATATAATTACATGAATGCGGTTTGAAGTAAATTGGATAATTAACCCCTAATTGTTTTTTTAACACGGGTATATTTTGTTGCAAGATGTGAATGAACATTTGATATAAAAGACACTTGTGCACTTTTCTTAATAGTTTCGCTCAAAAATTTCACCTAAATGATGACGATTTTGAGATTAAAATGTCTTGAACTTAAATGATTTTTGGAATTCAATGCTCATTTGACTAATACGTGGGATATGATTCAAAACAAGTTTATCTAAGTAAAATCTCCACATGATTGGTGTAATGAAAATTTAAAAACTTGTTTTACTTTTTAGTTATTGTGTAAAATTTAAAAAAAAAAAAATTGTGTAATGAAACTTCAAAAACTTCTAAAAAAAATTCGTATGAACAGGTAAATTGCATTATGTGTATAAATCCGTAAGACATAGCTTACAAACAATTTTAAGATGGTCATAATGGAGAACTTTGATGGTTTTTGTTCCGATCATAATACATCATAATATAATAACACTTCCTATGCACTTCAACATTTCCCATTTAAAATTTCTCTATATAAAAAAACCATAAAAACAATCGGGATAGCGATTGTTTCCCATCAAAACGGTACTTATTTTAGAATAAAGGTAACATAAAAATAATGCTATTTTTAAAAATTGGTTAGAAACTCATTTGAACATGTGAATTTGATAATTTGATTATGATCAAGCAAAAATCAAAACCCCAATTCATTTTACAATAGCAGAAATCCAAAGCATACCAATAGTAGTATTATCAACTCCAAACGGACATTTTCACTTTAACATTTTCATTCTACAATATGCAGATACTAATCCAAAAACCCCAATTCAAAAAAACTTGACCGATCACACAGCCTAATCCACCTCCTCCATCTTGCTCTCCTCGCCGCCTTCCTCCTCCAAAGCCGGAACTTCATCACCGTCATCACCTCCTTCCTCTTCATCAATACTCAAACCCAGCTTCAACATCCGATGGATTCTCCCTCCGAATGTATTCGGATCCTCCAAACTAAACCCTGACGTCAGCAAAGCAGTCTCAAAAATCAACATCACCAAATCCTTCACCGATTTATCATTCTTGTCGGCCTCCGCCCTCTTCCTCAGCTCCTCCATTATCGCATTATCAGGGTTTATCTCCATCGTCTTTTTGCTAGACATGTACGACCCCATGCTACTGTCTCTCAGCGCCTGCGCCTTCATTATCCTCTCCATGTTTGCACTCCATCCATATTCTCCGGTCACCAAACAGCACGGCGAGTCCACAATCCTGTCGGAAACCACCACTTTCTCCACCTTGTCTCCCAGAATCTCCTTAATCGTCTTGCACAGATTCTCAAACGACTTCTTTTTCTCCTCCCTCTTCTGCTTCTCCTCCTCCGTCTCGTCTTCAAGCTTTAGACCCTCTTTAGTTGCAGACACCAGCTTCTTCCCGTCGTATTCCTTCAACTGTCCGACGGCGTACTCGTCGATGGCGTCCACCATGAACAGGACCTCGTAACCTTTCTTCTTAAGCTTCTCCAAGAAAGGAGAGTTTTCAACGGATTTTTTACTCTCGCCTGTGATGTAGAAGATGTCCTTCTGTCCTTCCTTCATACGGGTGACGTAGTCTTTCAGACTGGTGACGTCATCGCCGCTTTTAGTGGAATGGTACCGGAGCAGGTCGGCTAGCTTTGATCTGTTCTGGCTGTCTTCATGGATGCCGAGCTTTAGATTCTTCGAGAACGCTTCGTAGAATTTGTTGTAGTCCTCTTTATTCTCAGCGATTTCATTGAACATCTCGATGCATTTTTTGACCAGATTCTTCCTGATAACTTTCAGAATCTTGTTTTGTTGAAGCATTTCACGGGAGATGTTAAGTGGAAGGTCGTCGGAGTCGACAACACCCTTCACGAATCCGAGATATTCAGGAATCAACTCCTCGCAGTTGTCCATGATGAACACCCTTCTCACGTACAACTTGATGTTGTTCATCTTTTTGCGAGTGTCAAATAGATCAAACGGAGCTCTCTTTGGAACAAAGAGGATCGCCTTGAATTCAAGCTGTCCTTCAACTGAAAAGTGCTTAACTGCTAGATGATCTTCCCAGTCGTTGGTTAAGCTCTTGTAGAAAGAAGCGTACTCGTCTTTGGTGATCTCCTCTGGCTTTCTGAGCCAGATTGGTTTCTGTTTGTTGATGAGCTCCCATTCGTGTGAAACCTCCTTGATCTTCTTCTTCTTTCCTTTCTCCTTCTCCTTGTCTTCATCAACCTCTTCCACATCGCCTTCCTCTTCCTTTTTAGGTTCATCGTCTTCATCATCACTTATCTCTTTTTCAGTTGTTTTCTCCGTCCACAGATAGATTGGATAGCTGATAAATTCGGAGTGTTTCTTCACAAGATCTTTGATCCTCCTCTCCTCTAAGTAATCCATCTGCAATAGTTGCATAACAGATCTCAGTAACTCTTCAATCTAATACCATCTACGATGTATTTAAAAATTAGCTCAAATAAAAAACAGATAATCATTGATCTGACAATCCGATTCACTTAAAGCAGAGCAATGCAGAACTAGAGATTGGCGATGTAATTGCAATGGTAACAATCGTATTACACCATATAAAAAAAAACAGCAGAATAAAAAGTGTATTGAAGAGCAGATCAGAGTCTGAGGAGATGTAATTACCTGGTCTTCCTTGAGGAAGAGAGTGATCTTAGTCCCCCTACCCAGTTGTTCACCATTGACATCCCTAGTGACTGTGAATGAGCCACCAGCTTGGGATTCCCAAATGTATTGCTCATCGTCATTGTGCTTAGTGGTGACAATCACCTTCTCAGCAACAAGATAGGCCGAATAGAAACCGACACCAAACTGTCCAATCATGCTCACATCAGCACCGGCCTGTAGCGCCTCCATGAACTCCTTTGTGCCAGATCTCGCAATCGTCCCCAAATTGTTCACCAAATCTACATTATTACGACAGTAACAATGAATACATTATTCACAAACACATTGGAAGGCATGCATGAAGCTATCAATAAAGAAATACAAAACTAAGAAAACTATATACCTGCTTTGGTCATTCCGACTCCGCTATCAATGATGGACAGGGTTTTGTTAACCTTATCTGGAACGAGCCGGATGAAAAGCTCCGGTTGCGCATCGAGCTTGCTCTTGTCCGTCAAGCTCTCGAATCGGATCTTATCCAACGCATCGGAAGAGTTGCTAATCAGTTCTCGTAGGAAGATTTCCTTGTTGCTGTAGAACGTATTGATAATCAGACTGAGCAATTGGTTGATTTCAGCCTGAAATGCGAACGTCTCTGCATCTGCCATTTGCACATCCGCCATTGCCACCGATTAACTAGGATTCAAGAAAAAGCAGGAAAGGTTACTTGAGAATTTAAGAGAAAAATGCTTAGCGAAACACAGAATGAAATCAATCTGATGACGGGGAAGGAGGATGAGAGTGGTTTTTATACCGGCGGAGGGCAGGGCGTGGTTGTTACTGGTGGGTTCTAGGCGCTTCTATGAAGCGTGAAAAATGGAGGGAGACTCATTCTGGATGCTTCTACGAGTGTCTTGAATTCCTAAGTGAGTTTTAATTTGGACCCTCTAACTTAAGAAATATCTACTTTAATCTTTGATTGGGAGTTTTTTCCCCCTATTTTGTAACGCACAAAATGTCTCTAATTATAAACTGCGTTCATATTTCAATCCTATGTCCGGTATTGGTTAGAACGTGGCAATTAGGTCGATTAAGGCTGTGTTTGTTAGGAAACAATTAGTTCATTTTTCGAGTTTCTTTAAGTTGTTATGTTAATATGTTTCGAAAACAAAAAAAAAAAATTGTTTATAAACTAGCTTTTTAAAAATCTACACATGTTGTGTTTGATACATCACAGCTAGCTAATAGGTTAACTTATTTTTTGAGTTTTTCTTAAGTTGTTATGTTTGACAGACAAAAGGATAATCTATAAACTAGCTTTTTTTAAATACTATTTCGACTAGTTTTTTAAAAAACTATTTCGACTAGCTTTTTAAAAACTTTTCTAAAATTTTCAAATATACCCTTTAATTAATCATTGAAACATATTATTTTAATTTTTATTTTATGTCATTTTGTATCGTTCAGTTAGTTTTACCAAATATTATTTTTTATCAGTTAGTTTTTAGTTATCAGCTAGTTTTTTATTTAACAATTAATTTTTCAGCTAACAACTAATTTTCAGTTGGTACGCCAAACATAGTCGTAGACTAGTTTTTCAGGAGGTTTTTTATTTTTTATTTTTTATTTTTTATTTTTTTATTTTCAAATATACTTTTAATTAATTATAGAAAACATATTTTTTTAATGCCTTATTATGTAATTTTATATCTTTCAGCTAGTTTATCAACTAGTTTTATCAAACGCCATTTTTAATCGGCTAACAACTAGTTTTTCATACAGAAACTAACTTTTCAGCTATCAGCTCTTACGTCAAACATAGCCCAAGTGAATAAACATGCTCAATCATAGGCAAACATTATCTTAGTTAATTAAATATATAATGTAACAAAATAATATTGTTATTTATATAAATTGTATTAATATGTAACAACTGGTAAAAATTAGTCGGTGTTTATCGGTCAAACCATCATGAACTGCTATGTATTAATGATCAATTGTATGTAATTTTTTATTTATAATGCTAAAAATATTACATTTATAATTACTTTTATAACATCTCAAACTGCTCAAACCATCTATCATTGAAGATAGAATCGAAAATCACCAAAAATTAATTAAATTTGTGATGTTATATATATATATATATATATATATATATATATATATATATATATATATATATATATATATATATATATATATATATATATATATATATATATATATATATATATATATATGGGTGAGATCGGTTGAGAACTCATAGTTTCCCGAGAACCTGAGAACTAAAGGGGGAGCGTTAGATCAAAATTAACTCATTAAGGACATGATCGTCATCTTACCAATCTCATTTAATGTATAATTTTTTGTTATTGGAAATATTAATAAAATCTTCTAAAAATTAACATAATAAATCAAATTTCATATTTTTGTTTTTAAATAATTTTTGATTTTTTTTAAAAAATGAAGATTTTTTACTTTTTTCAGAAAACATGAATTTAAAAAAAAAATGAAATTAAAAAAAAAAAACTATGATTTTTTTTTTAAAAAACACCATTTAAAAAAAGCTGCAAATTAAAAAAAAAAAAAAAAAAAAAAAAAAAAAAAAAAAAAAAACTACAATTTTTTTTAAAACTACATTTAAAAAAAAACTGCTACTTTTTTCAAAAAACTGCATTTTTTTTAAAAAAGTAAGTATTTAAAAACCAGTAAATTAAAAAAAAAACTAGAATATTTTAAAAAAATCTAATTTTTTTAACAAAAAAAAATCAAAGTTTTAGGTGCATATCTGCATCAAGTATTAGAAATATGAACTTAAGGAATTCAATAAGCATTGTTTTCTGGAAGTTCCATTGTTTTCTGAATACATGTCAAAGCTAGTGGGAGCATAAGTGTTATGCCAATCATCATATTAGTGATAACATGATTATTATGGTAAGTATTGCAAGTTAGCTTTATTAATTATAGAAAACAAGAGTTATACTTTGCAAAGTCGCAAGTGTTAAAAAATTGTTTTTCTATAATTAAGGGAGAGAATATTATACTTAATTTCAAATGTAAAGGCTTAGATTGTGGATTTTTAATCAAATTTAGTCAAATATATATGAATGTTATGTTAGAATGGTTCAACATGAGGAAATTCTATATATGGAAATGATAATTGCATTCTCAAAAATTTGGTTATGATTACGGTATCACTTTTCATAATCAAAATTATGAGAACATGGCAATTTGAAAATATTATAGCAAAAGACTGGTAAAGTATCACGTCTTTATGTAAAACATTATGAATCGTGTCTCATACGCTTCGGGTATAGGATCGATTGCATATGCTATAATGTTTGATCGTTCTAAAATTTTCCAAATGCTTAGCGCATTAACAGGGAAAAAGGACTAGAACGAGTTTTGACTGAAATTATTAAACAACTATCAAATGACGATCTTGATGGGTTTTGATCATAAGAACATCCTATGTGCTCATACAAACCCTAATGCTTGGATCTAGGTTTCTCCATTGTACATGCAAGTTATCCAAGACTATAAACCCTAATTCTAGCATACAAGTAATCATATTAACATAAGAATGAGTTTAAGACATTACCTTGATTGTTATGTAGCAATAACAATCCAATTCCTCCTTGTATTGACTTTAGAAAGCTTAGAGTCACAAATGCCACTCCTCTAATGATTCACAAACACCAAGAGCAAGAGGATGAAGAGGAGAGAGGATGGATGCTGCCCTAAAACGTGTGAAACCCTAGAAGGATGCTTAGCCACGTTTTTAGGTCATAAGGGATGTATATATAGTTAGGCTATTAGGGTTATCTAACAAGGAAACCCTAAATTGGATGCTTAAGCCCTAAGCAACCCATAGATTCCTTTCCTTAAGGCCTTGGACGATTTCCTCATGGGCTTTCCCATAGAATTCGTCCACTCCTTAATATAAGGCAATCCATAGCCCAAATTGCAATTATCTTATAATTACAATTCCAGTCCCTTAAGTTTAATTAATCTCTTTTAGTCACAAAACTAATTACCAATTAATTCTTGACTAATATTAATTAAACAATATGATTTCTTCTTTAATATATTATTCTCATAATATATAGTAATAAATCATATTTAATCCTTTCTCTCCATAATTCATCCTATCAAGTTGCTTTGGTGAAGGCAACCCAAAAGGACCATGCACCATCGGGTCAAGTACATACCAAAATAGTTATGGACTTAGACACTAATCCAACAATCTCCCACTTGGATAAGTCTAATAACTATTATGCGTGTGACTTCAGATCCCGATCTGCAATCGTAGCTTTCCAAAGCAGCTGTCAACTTTGATCATATCAGATACGCGTGTCCTTTAGATAAGGGATCATATATTCCTCCATTCTAGATATCATATGAGATTTGATTTCAAATCATTCTCTTTGTACTATTTCTCGACTTCCGATTTATGACGACTGACTAATTGAACAAATCAAATTAGCCCTAGCCCGACCGAGCATTTACGTTTGTCATCACTAAACCATCGAGGGGCCTAAAGATATCGCTTTTATCCTACTTGGGATAAAAGGAATGGATAAAATTTGATTCAATGCTCGCTGGCACTTACTCACCAAATCACACACAACAATATGTTTTATGACACCAAGTTACTAGTGTGTTTACATATTATCAACGTGCAACCGATTTGCAAGATACAACTCACACATCTCGGTTTCAAGAATATAAGATGTTATCATCTCACCAATCACTTGTGATACAATCCATGGAGTGATCCAAGTGAGCGTGGGTTTGATCCAAGGCTCAAATTCATATTCATAAGCACTCATGAACATTGCAACAAACATTTTCTTATGTCTAACACTCTTTAGACAATCCACACACCAATTCATGACAGTCTTCATTCATACCTACTTCCAACATATGAACGACTGTGGCCCGTTCGAATAATTTGACTGTTCTTAATCAATTAAATTATTCAGGAAATCAAAACATGCAAAGTGAAACACAAGAATAATACTAATCCCATATGGCCTTAACCCTTTGAGCATAAATAAAACCCCTTTTATTTATCACCATATCGATTACTCATTATTTGTCATTTTGGGTAATCAACTTCTTACTTATATTATTACACTTGTCCCATGCTCTTCCGCATGCACACAATGTTTACCTATGGTTCTTACTTTGTAAAATATATCAAATTGGACACATTTCCAATCATTCTCATTTCACAACTCCTAATCCTTTTTCATAAGTGTAAGAACATCAAATTCTTGCTACTTATAGAATATGGTAGATTCTAACATTTTATGCAACGATCCTTTTGTAATATCACTGCACCAAAGTCACAAAGACTATTGCCAATGAAATTACAAAGTCCTGTATCGGAGATTGTTACAAGACAGTTCCATAGATGTGATGTCTCTCACTCAAAGTACATTCCTTTGAACATCCTTTTGCATAAAACTTATAGAATATGGTAGATTCTAACATTTTATGCAACGATCCTTTTGTAATATCACTGCACCAAAGTCACAAAGACTATTGCCAATGAAATTACAAAGTCCTCTATCGGAGATTGTTACAAGACAGTTCCATAGATGTGATGTCTCTCACTCAAATTACATTCCTTTGAACATCCTTTTGCATAAAAGTTTCTAATCTAGACATAGATTTTCAATATTCAATTCCCAATATGGACACGTTTCCATATTTTCCATATGACAACTCATTCTTAATAGAATCTTATCTATTCATAATAATTTCGATATGGTCCATCCAATATGGAAACATTTCCATATTTTCCAATACTATACTTCCAACTACTCACAAGCGATCAATCCTCGGCGAACTTTGGATTGTCCTTTTGATAATTGTTTAATTATTTTGGTTAAAAACGGATTCTAGTCCTTTTTC